AGAGCAGTTGGTGGTTTTGAACCGATGAGGCTGTGGTTTTAGCAGCCCCATGCAGGGACCACCACGCCTAGTCCAGGGTACAATAAAGATACCTGACTGCCTTGAGCTGGGAGGCAGGGGCTGGGAAGTCCTAAGCTCAGGGGAGTGCAGCCCCCCACCTACCCTGACCCCCCTGAGCCTGTCTCTAGAGCAAGCGGGAGCCCAGCCAAAGGCCATGCTAAGGAGTGAAGAGCCATCAGCTCCTGGTGGCCAAAGCCAGCTTCCATGCAGCGGAGAAACTGAGGCACAGGGAAGAGGGCCGTGCACCCCCACATGCAACAGCACAAACTCAGCTTGATCTCAATCCCTGACACACTAGCATACATGACACCCCAGTGGGGCTAGAGAGGACAAGCCCCTGCTACCTGCCCAAGACCCATTCCGTTTTCCTTTATCTTTGATGCAAACCCCCAACTAATCAAACTCTGCCTTCCAGTCAATTCCTACTAATAGTGACCCTACAGGGCAGAGCGGAACTGCCCCCGTGTTTCGGAGGCTGTAACTCTATACGGGGGTAGAAAGCCTCGTCTTTCTCCTGAGGCGTCACCCTTGGTTTCGAACCGCTGACCTTGTGGTGAGCAGACCACCAGGGCTCCTTCTATCCCTCATTAGCGCCTTAAAATGCAAACACAACTTCGGGAATGAGGATTGCTCTCTCCCCACCCTGAGAGGTCGTTCCTTGGTTCATCCAGTGGCTCTTGATGTGGTAGAAACATTCTAGGGCTGGGGCACACCAGGCAATAGAAAGGAGAGCCCTGCCTTCCAGAATTCATACTCTACTGGGTAACTATAAATAATATATGAGATTATAAAGATGTTACAAGGGACCTTGCCAGGAGGAAGAGAAATAAGAGCGTGGGGCAGCGGGAGACGGGCGAGGCAGGGCAGGGCAGGGCGTGGAGATGCAGTTTATTTCAGGAGGTGCAGAAGCAGGCAGAGGGAGAGGACGGAGCCAGTCCTGCTAGGGTCTGGGGAGGTCATGCAGAATTGGCCCTGGGGTGGGATCAATCCTCAGGGAAGGGCAGGAAGGCCAAGGGGCTTGACAGAGCCTTCCCTTATCACTTATTTATTCACCAGTTTAACAAACACTGGGGGGGGGGGGGCGCATGGACCCTACCCCCAAAACCTAACCCAACCCACTCATAGAGACCCTAAAAGATGGAGAATGGCTCCATTGGGGTTTTAAGCCTCATCTTTCTACTTCAGAGTGGCTGGTGGGTCTGAACTGCCGACCTCTTCTGGCTTGGGTTGCAGCCCAATGCTGACAACCACTATGTCACCAGGGGCTCCTCCCACTGGGGGGGTGGGGGTGGGACTGGGGCAGGAGTCCACAGACCAGCGTTCCAGGGCCTGTACCCACCGTGGGGTGGTGAGGCCCTGAGAGACGCTTGGCCAAGGTTAGGTCACTCTGCTCGGGGCGGATGCTGCTGCCAGTCCCGGCTGCGGTGTGCTGGCAAACCTTTTTCTCTTGGCTACACATCTTCCAGAGACCGGGTTTGTACGGGAATTTTTACAAGCTGAAGATGCACACCAAACACTTGCCGTGCCTCTGAGGGCCTCATCAGGAGGGGCCGGTCCCAGGAGAAGGCCACCTTGCTTGGATGGCAGAGGGTAGGCAGAAAAAGAGGCAGGCCCTCAATGAGCTGGACTGACATTGACGGGCAGCGATAGACGCCAGCCTAGCCAGGCTTGCAAGGATGGTGCGGGGCGTCAGGTTTCGGTCATTTCCACACAGGGTCTCTGAGCCGGAACACACTTCACAGCACCTTTGGGCAGCCACGGGGAGGTCAGAGCCCCAGCTAAAAATGTGGATGCCAGATAGGCCTGGGAGCGGCCAGAGTGGAGGGAATCTGCCGTGGCTCAGCACCAGGAAGTGACGGCATCGGCCCGCTCACTGGGAGTGACTATCCCACCACATCCACAGCTCTGTGGCCCACTGGGCAGGCTAGGTAGGCTGGGGCTGTGTCTCCATGGAGTCTCCAGGTTCAAGCCTTTGTTGAAGAGAGTCTGATGGATGTAAATAAATATCAAGCTGGGAAGCTTGGCTTAAGGGAGCTCTGGTCTGCGAGCTGCGAGCTTTGTTTTTCCACCTTGACCGGGCATTTCTTCACCAGAAGGAGTCTAAGGGCAGCCCTGCCACGATCCACGGTCCACAATCCACACAGCATCCCACCCTGGGAGAGCTCAGCCCGGTGGATCATGGGGTGGTGGTGATGCCTCTAGTCAGCACACATACTCTCCAAGACAGAGAAGAGGAAGCTTCTCTGGAGGGACCTAGCCAGGCTCCTGACCAACAGGCCTAGAGGAAGCCTTCTGAGCCCTGAGGCTGGCAGGGCATGGGACACACATCCTCCCTGAGTAAACAGGTTCCCACTCGGTCTCTGCCATCAGCTACCAAGGCCTGTGTCTCTGCCCCTCCAGTCTCTCTGAAGTCAGGCTGCCCAGCTGTCTCCCCCTTAGGGTTATGTTAGTCAAGCTGACCTCTCTGCGGGGGGAGATGTGGATAGGAAGCTCTAAGGGGCGCTGGTAGCTTAATGGTTTTTTTAGGCAAGGACAACAGTTTGAAACCACCAGGTGCTCTGTAGGAGACAAACGAATCTCAACCTGGGGGGTCCCAACCCCTTTGGGAGTCAAACGACCCTTTCATAGGGGTTGCCCGATTCATAACAGTAGTAAAATTACAGCTATGAAATAGCAACGAAAATAATTTTATGGTTGGGGGGGTCACCACAACATGAGGAATTGTATTAAAGGGTCGTGGCATTATGAAGGCAGAGAACCACTGATTTAGAGCCTCGGAGACCCACCGGGGCAGTTCTTCTACCCTGTCTTATGAGCTTGCTCTGAGAGGTCAGCTCTAAGGTGGAGATCCCGTCTATAAATTATTATTTTTTTAAAGGTAACAACTTCCCGCCCAACAATCTTTTCAGATGGCACCTGGAAAAAACGGAGGGGATCTTCCAGCTTGCTCCCGCCCACGGTCAGTCTGAGCCTCAAGCCCGAGCAGTTCCAGTCAGGGGGGGCTCTGGCGGTGGAGAGGAAGGCAGGGAGGGCCTTACAACGCAAAGCCCCAGGGTTTCAGGGGAGCAATCCCCTCCTCCTGACACGATTCCTTTATAAATAGCACCTCTCTGTGCCCCTCACTCCCTTTGCCCTCAGTGTGCCCACTGCTAGTCTGAGGGGTTCAGAGAGGTGGAGGTGGGAGGAAAGTCTTGTTGCTGCTCAGAAAGGTGTGTGGTGCACTCTGAGCTTCGAGGCTGATGAGTAAACTCTCTGAGTCTCTCCCCTACTACCTGGGACCTGGCCAAGAACACAGGTGAGAGGGAACAATGCAGGGCTGGAGGGGGGTCCGGGGCAGATCCCATCAGACCACAGGAGGGAAGCATAGGCTTGGCGCCTGGGAAAGACAGAGCATTATCCCCGCCTTCACCTGCTTGCTTCTGGCAGAATAGTCACAAGTTACTCGTCCTTGTTCTGAGGAGATAACCAACCAAAGGCCTGATTCTCCTGCCTTTGTGAACTAGGAGTTGCAGGGAGGCCACTCCCTTGCACTCTCAAGAAAACAGAATGACTATCCCGGCTTACAGGGCTCTTCACCCTAGAGCCCCAAATGACTCCCTACTAGCCCAACCCCAGGACCTAGCTAGAGGTAAACTGGGCCACAAGCACACACCCCACACACACACTCAGGTTCTCTGCTCCCTCTGTTTCAAGGGCCAGGCTACTGATCCAAAGGAACCCCCCCTGGCCATCTTCCAACCTCTCCTCAAAGGCTCCTTCCCATAGGAAGCTTTCCCCAGTTTTCCAGAGTCTTCCTGACTTCATCTCCATCCAAGTGCAGGTTCCTTGTTTTGAATCTCCCTTAGGTCTCAGCCTCCTTGAAAGCATTCGCTTTACTCTATCCTGCTTCAACCGGGAGCACTGGTGGTTAGTAGAGTGGGCTGTGCACTGTGCTACTAACTACAAGATCAGTGGTTTGAAATCACCAGTCGCTCCTCTGGAAAAAAATGAGACTGTCTACTCTCATAACTCTTAGTCTCGAAAGCCCACCCAGGGCAGTCTCAATGGCAGTAAGTTTGCTTCAACACCTCCCTGAGCCCTTGCTCCATCCCTTCAACTAGACCACAAGTTCTCCAGGACCAGGGACCGTCTGTGTTTTACCTGTCAAGATTCATGAGAAGCACAAAGCACAATGGCTGGCAGATGGTAGATGCTTAAGTTTTTTTGTTGTTTTTGTTTTTTTCTGTACTGCCTCTGGGGCACAGGTGGTGGTGGCAAAGGGTCAGAAAAACAAGACAAACTGTAGGACAGGGCACAACTGCCCCTGTGGGATTCCAAGGTGGTAACTCTTGACAGGGAGTAGAAAGCCTAGCCCTTTGATCCCACGGTGCGGCTGGGGGTTTCCGGCTGCTGACCTTTCGGTTAGCAACTGAATATGCATAACTACCAGGCTCCTCACAAGGGGCATGAAAGTCACACCAACCAAACACCAGACTCAGCTGACACACAACAGGCAAAGGTACCAGAGAGGTGTGACGGAGCCACGTCACGCACGCACGCACGCACGCACGCACACCCCCTCCCCCCCAGACCTTACCCTGCTTGAACTCCTCCAGCATGGCGTCCAGCTTGGTGTCGTGGAAAACAAAGTGGACCGGGTGGTTATAGAACCGGGTGATGGTCTTGAGGGGGGTACAATCGTCGGGGTCCACGAAGGCCAAGTCCTTGACATAGAGAATGTCGACGATATTGGAATGCTCGTCTTCAAACACAGGGATGCGGGTGTAGCCACTCTCCATGATCTCCGACATGGTGTTGAAGTCCAGGATGGCGTCGCTGCGGATCATGAAGCAGTCCTGGAGCTGGGTCATGATGTCCTCCACGGTTTTGGTCCGTAACTCCAGGGCCCCCTGGATCATATTGAGCTCCTCTTTCACAAGATCGTTGTAAGGCTCCGTCACCTTCAGCATCTCCATCAGCTTCTCCCGGTTGTAAACGGTCCCGATCTCCTGGCCCAGCACGAAGTCCAGGATCTTACTGATGGGGAAACTGAGGGGGAAGGTGAGCAGCATGAATAATTTGGTGATGCTGATGGTGTTGGCACCGACAGCCAACCCGTGTCGGGAGCACAGGGCCTGAGGGACGATCTCCCCAAAGATGACAATGCCGATGGTGGAGGAGGCCACCGCCATGACCCCAGACCCGATGAGGTTGTCCAAAAGGATGGTGAGGGAGGTGTTGACCAGCACATTGCCCAGGAGGAGCGAGCAGAGCAGGTAGTTGCCCTTGCGCCGGATGGGCTCGATCTTGCGGGCGTACCGCTTCTCCTTCTCGGTGCCACAGTTCTGGACGATGCGCAGCTCCATGGGGTCCAGGGCCATGAGCCCCAGGTTGAGGCCCGAAAACATGCCCGACAACACCAGCAGCACGATGATGATGAGGACGTGCAGCCAGAAGGGCAGGAACCTCCCGGCCTCTTCCTTCAAGTAGAGCAGCGAGTCTTCGTCCGTCCACCTCTGCCAGGGCCCATCCACCCCGGCCCGGGTGCACAGCGCGTACAGCTTGAGCTTCTCGCTCCTCCGCAGGAACTTGGTGAGCACCACCAGCATCCCGGACGTGTTCCCGCGGCTTACATTGACCAGCTTCTGGACGACCAGGTCCTTGGTGAGCTCTGGGCAGCTGGTGGAGTTCCGAGAGGTCTCGTGGTCGTCCATCTCGGTGAAGGAGATCAGGTTGCTGGGGATGGAGCCCAGCCTTTGGCCGTACAGCCTCAGGTTCACCACGCTGCCCTCGGACACGTAGATGGTGCCATCCTGGTTAACCCCGCACGTCTTGTTGCAGCTCGCCAGCCGCATGCCCAGGATCGTACCCCGCAGGGGGTCGCCCTGGCCCCGGGCCCCCCGCGTCCAGAGC